TTGCACCTCTAAAATGGATCTGGGCTGAGGGGCTCATCATTGGCCAGATCCAAACTTTAGGGAGCTACAGGCTGGATCTAGGCTGGCAGTGACAGTAGGGCAAGCAGTGGCGCAGCTGTTGCTCACTGCCAACCCCCTTGCTGACCTGCATGTTCATTGAGTCTCTTTTGGTAGGAATTTAGTGGCAGTCCCAGTCTCTGTCCCTGTAGCTCCATACCTGAATTCCTGGCCCTCTGAGAGACATTCCTATATTTTCTATAAATTTGTGGTACCTACTATAAAGTATATATCACCATATTCAATAGTATAATGTCTTATGGCAAAGAGTTTTTCAGCATCTGCTCGAAATGACTATGTAAGTTACCCATGTTCCTTTACTTGTGAGCAATACTCTCAATACCAAACTCAAACGGAAAACAGGATCATAAGAAAGTTGGGATGGAAGATGCCTCAGGAGGTTATTTAGTACAGACTCCTGTTCAAGGCAGGATCATTCCTAACTAAATCATGCCAATCTGCCTAACTTGCTCTTGAAAATTTCCAGGATTGGAAATTCCACAACTTCTCTAGGTAGTTTGTTCCAATTTTCACCACCATCAATCAGAAAGTTCTTCCTAATTGCCACCATAAATTTCCAGTTTGAAGCCCTTGTTTATAGTCCTGTCCTTTACAGTCACAGAAAAAAATCTATATCCATCTGCTTATAATCACTCTTGAGTTATTCAAAAACTGTTGTCAAATCTCCCCCCCTCAGTCTCTAGACTACATAAGCCTAGTTCTTTCAGCCTTTCTTTATAATTCATGCTTCCCAGAACTCTAATCATGTTTGCCATTCTCCACTGGACTATGCCTAATCTGCCCACATCTTTTTTGAAGAGCAGAGCTCGAAACTGGATATAGTATTCCAGGTGAGGCCTCACCAGTACTTAAAAAAGAGGAAGAAAAACACACTAACACTCTTGGTGAATCTTGGTGAATCTGAATCACTCTTGGTGAATCTGAATCTTGCTGACTGTTCCTGATAATCTGGATCTTCTTCAGGTGCTTTGAAATAGATTCTTTGAGCTCAGTGATCTTTTCCGGTATGATGGTCTAACTGACTGGTCTGTAATTCCTCAAATCCTCCTTTTTTCCCTTTCTTAAAGGGATATGTGCCCTTTTCTAGTCATCTGGGACTTTACCCAACCTCTGTTGGCTCACAAAAACAATAGTCACTGGATCTGAAATTACCTCAGCCAATTCCTTCAGTACCCTAGAGCAGAGATCAAAGTTATACAGCACTATGGACTGGATAAGTTTCATGGGGCCAGTCTATGGGCCAGATCAGGCCCGTGGACCTGCCCTATATGCCAGATCCAGTGTGCAAGACACCTACTCCAGCTGTTCAGAGTAGCACCATCCAGAGTGACACTGAGTGCAGCATTGGCCCTGAACTGGACAGTGCTAGTGCCATGTGCAGTCCATGTCCCAAGCCCTGCACATGGGGCTGGTCCACCATAAGCCACGTACAGCATGTGGGTCAACTCTTGAGACCGAAAGGCAGCACCAAGGGGCCAGATGATAGGGCTCCATGGGTTGGAACTTTGCCACCTCTGACCTAAAGTATATCCCACCTGGCCCTGCTGATTTGAAAGCATTTAGCTTTACTAAGTGATCCCTAACCTGATCTTCCACTACTGTAGTGAAATACTGGAATACATGCCTATATACTACTCCAGATCATCAAGTTTTCCTATAGCCTGTGATACACTTCGAGCATAGTCATTCTTAATGAAAGTTATAAAAATGCCTGTCTCAAGTATGCCTGATTGTATTTCAGTTTAACTTTATGTGGCATGTTTAAAAAAACAAACAAACAACTTTGTTTCTTGTTTTTTAGGTTGTTCTCAAAATGTTTTATAGAAAAATGATGACTTATTGCCTTTCAAGGAAAAAAGCAGCATAAAGTTATTCAATACTACACAGACACCACCCTTTCCCTTTACACTAGACAAATGTAGCTTTATATATATATATATATGTATATATGTATGTATATATGTATGTATGTATTTATATTATAATTTTTTAGTAAAATAGTTTTGAATTAGGCACATTTTGTATTTTTTTAAGTTATGGTTAATAAAATGTCCTCCAAGTGGGATTTGTAGATGGCTGATTCTGCTACTTTAACTTGAAAAGAGAAGCCCAGACTATGAATATGATGCATATTTCTGTCAAATAAACAATTTTAAATGAGTGATTACTGATGTTGACAGTTACAGGAATAAAAACTAGATACCAATCAATTCTTAAAAATGTAGATGAAAATTTATCTTCACACATACACTATACATAATCTTTTACTGAAGGACTATACAAAAGTTGCTTTTGCATATGTCCTAAATGCTAAAAACTGTACAAAATAACTAGGAAAATGTTTATTTGCTGAATATTCACTTGTTCTCATGACTTGTTCAATATGGAACAAAGGACCAAAAACTATAATATACTTCTCCTACTTCTTACATATTTATCAGTCTTTTAATGTTACGAAAAGTGAGAAAGGAATCATACCATAAACCCCAGTACTCTCAAAAGGACATAATTAATAATACAAGGTTATGTAAGTCCTGGCTACAGAGAAAGACATAGTAAACCTAAATAGTTCAGGGAAATTAAAAGCCACTACACTCTTATTTACCTCAATAGGGTATCACTCATCTCTAACTAAACACAGATAAACTACAAGCTTGACTTGAAATAAGTGTAGGTAATTTTTATATAACATCAAACATGCCTGTGAATCAAATATAGGCATCTTAACACCACCAAGAGAACACATATGTAGAAATCCCAGGAATATCACCAAGAAAAATGCCAAACCCACTAGCTCCCGGTTGGTATGCAACAGGAATTAGTAAGTGTGTGTCCATAAATGTCCAGGAACTAGGCAAAATGCAAGGGATTTGTGGTGATATCTTTTATCAGATCAACTCTACAATTAGGAGGGAGGTTAGGCAAGCTTTTGGGCACAAAGTGCCCTCACTCAGATCTTCGTCAGCCAAAAACATCTTCACACAAAGGATTAGCCAGCTTAGCGAGCTCCTAAGCACATGTCCAGAAATGCTGTCAGGGTCTTATGTATGTTTCTTGGTGAGCATCTGGGGCTGCACAACAACAGCTATATGACCTAATTGACACTTCTGAAGTGGGAGCAAGCAGATGGCACATGCTTGTGGGCAGCACTACCCTAGCAGCAGTACAGAAATGCCTCAAACTTATAGTGCAAGTGAGAATAGTCTATAAAGATTGCTAATGTATTCTTAAAGTTAAAACTAATCAAATACTCATTTTAGTGATTGGATTCAAAATCATGCAGAACTTTTACAAAATATGTGGGTGCATTTTAGAAATCTATGTAATGAATATTAAAAGAAACACCCAGATATTCAGAGTGATATCATCCTGAGAAAAACATTTCTATTACAGGTAGTAACTATTGTTTTAAAGAAAAGCGCTAGCACTACTGTCTAATCAGGAGCACAAGCTGATGTTGCCTTTTCATTCACAATAAAATCACAGTAAAATTAACTGCTGTATGATATGCCTATATTTTCTCAGAATTAAGTATACAATGCCCACATGTAGATACATGCAGGGACAGTAAGTTTCCTTAGTGCTTAATGGAGAAAGGCCAGAGGTATGATTTACACAGAACTGTTTTGCAACACTGACTACTACTGACCACAAAGGATGGTTCCTGTGAACTAAAATACATCGTGGCTATGGCATATACTTTCTCAGGGACTTTCTTTGGATATCCTAAGTTCTTTATGGCTAAGTTCAGACAGTCAAAAAGGCCAAGGCAGAATTAATTTAATCGAGGCAGCTTCCTCTAAGTGATAACCAACTGAAATGACATTCAGTTTGCAATTAGGAAAGCCAGGGGAGGCCTGTACTGACCCAGCAGAAGCAACAAAAATGGTGAGGGGCACATGACTTCTGAGGAGAGGCTGAGGGAACTGGGTTTATTTAGTCTAGAGAAGAGAAGACTGGGAGGGGATTTAATAACAGCCTTCAACTACCTGAAAGGGGGTTCCAAAATGAATGGAGCTGGACTGTTCTCGGTGGTGGCAGATGACAGAACAAGGAGCAAGTCGCCAGTTGCAGCACGGGAAGTTTAGGTTAGATATCAGGAAGAATTTTCTCACTGGGACGGTAGTAAAACACTGGAACAGGTTACCCAGAGAGGTGGTGGAATCTCTGTCCTTGGAGATTATTAAGACCTGGCTAGACAAAGCTTTGGTTGGGATGATCTAGTCGGGGATGGTCCTGCTTTGAGCAGGGGGTTGGACTAGATGACCTCCTGAGGTCCCTTCCAACCCTCATTTCTATGATTCTATTCTCCCTCCCTCCTGTGGCAGCCACTAAAACAATCATCAGCTGGAAAGGGGGAGGGGAAAAGGCTGCCAAGGGTCAATAAGCCCCCACCACAGGGGCTTTCCCTCCCCCCATGTGCTGTGTAGACCCTGGCCAGGGGGATTTGGGGGTCTGTTCCCCTGCCTGTCCCATGTCCCTAAGGGGCTGACAGACACCAGCAGGAAGCAGGCTAAGAAACAAAGTGGTAAGGCAGTCCATCCTCCGCTAGATCAGACAGCATAGCCCAGGGCTGCAAAGCATCCTGGGATGAGTTAACTTTAACTAGGAAGGGACCTGGGACAGAATTTCCATAAACCAGTTTGACAGAAGATCAGTCAAGTCTGATACTTCATCCAACCAGGTTTATCTTAAACCAGTTTTGGCCATTTTGAAAGTGGTTTATGTGCACTGAACTTGTGTTCTGTTACAGGTTTAAACCAGTTTCCAATCACTAAAACCGGTTTATGTTTAACTTCTGTCCCTAGCCTATGTGTAATACATACTTAAAGAACTGAAAAAACGATATTGATACTATGCTATCCTAGGCATGGCAAAGCAGGCAACAGAAGCTTTTAAGTAAGCTTCTTTCCATACTGTACCTTTTCATCCAAAGCCTTGTGGTGTTCAAATAAAGATTTCAGTGCTTTGAGAACCTCGACTTCACTGGAAACTCCTGAGGGGGACTGTGCTTGCCGTTTCACCACTGTCATCCTCAGTGACCTTTCATGTCTTGAAACAAGGCACTCCAAATGCTCCAGTAGCAGCTATTGGATTTAACATAAATATATTTTAATTCATTTTATCAAAAGTTCATAAGGCATTATTAAGACAAAGTGTGCAATATAAAAATACAGAGGCTCTGGCAGACTCATTGTATGAATATATCTAGTATTCAATAAATCAGCATTCCATGATATAGAAGAAAGTAAAAGGTTTTTTGTCATAACTTCTGCTCCAAAATTTTCAAAGCATAAAATTACTCTATTATAATTTTGTCACATATATATATATATATATGTGTGTGTGTGTGTGTGTGTGTGTGTGTGTGTGTGTGTGTGTGTATTAAAGTCAGCCATTGTAAATAATGGAATGTTAAAACAAACTAAGTAAAACAACTCACCAACTAATACAGTCTATTATTTATGCTTGAAAACTTAGCATATTTTTTTAATGAAAAAGCAAGCAATATATTTTACTAAAATTTTAAAGTGATATGTTGATTTTATTCCCTTAACTAATGATTCATGTTAATACAGTATGCTCTAAAATATTTTTTATCATTAACATGCAGAAATACTAAAATATCTGTATATTTATGTCTTTATGCATTGTATTATAATTAATCATAGGGTTCATTCCATATCTGACTTAAGAATATGTTGAACCTCTTTTTCTGATATGTCAAAACTATATATATATTTCTACATTTTTAAGTTATGTGACTCCTAGTTTTAGATATCTGATTATGAAAATGAAATAGTTGTGAATGCATTTAATTTTAGAGGTCACATTATAACAAAGCACTGTAATTACTGTATAATTAGATTAGGTATTACTTTTCAACATTAAATTATATCTGAGATGTTTAACTAGAAGCTTAAAGGTTACATGCTTATTACTTCTTTGATGTGATTCGTAATACATCTACTATTAGAACACAGGAATATTAACACACACATGTCTACACCATAATTATTGTTGGTCACATGGAGAACTTTGCAGATATTATAGTGATACATTTATGAAAGAAGCATAACCAGGGGGTAACTGTATCACAGTTGTAATGTAACTATACTGAAATTATAGTACTTTTATTTAAATGGAAATAATTCAGGTTTCCTGTTACTGTTCCTTAAAGGCTAAATCCTATTTGCACCTCTCCAATAGTTTGCAACAACATGTTTGGTTTCTAGAAATTTAGTAAGTGTGCATGTGAGCAATTATATGCAGATAACCTACAATGAATATCAAGCAGCTGAAGAAAGCAGCAACATATTTCACCATTCTTGAGTTAAAGTAATGGGCCAGATTAATCAAAAGCAAAATATGTACAAGAAAGGACATGAGCTAGATCTCCTGATCCCTAAGGGGATGGAACACAATTTATGAACAAGATGATGGTTTTTTGTGACAGTTGGAAGCAGCTTTGTTACAAGCAAATTTGAAGGTGCCCCAGCCAGGTTAGGTGAAGGAATGAGATAAAACGCTGATTCACATTAGTGCCAGGTGTATTCTTCACTGCACTCTTATTCAAACAGAACTTGAACATATGCTTAACTGCATTCCTGAACAGAGATGCTTTCCAGATTTGGGGCCTCAATTAATATATTCCCAGGCCTTCTTAACCATCTTTTATTTGATCTCCTAATTCAAGAGGGATGCGGATAACCTGGAGAGGGTCCAGAGAAGGGCCACTCGTATCGTTAAGGGCCTGCAGACCAAGCCCTACGAGGAGAGACTAGAGAAACTGGACCTTTTCAGCCTCCGCAAGAGAAGGTTGAGAGGCGACCTTGTGGCTGCCTATAAGTTCATCACGGGGGCACAGAAGGGAATTGGTGAGTATTTATTCACCAAGGCGCCCCCGGGGGTTACAAGAAATAATGGCCACAAGCTAGCAGAGAGCAGATTTAGACTGGACATTAGGGAGAACTTCTTCACAGTTCGAGTGGCCAAGGTCTGGAACGGGCTCCCAAGGGAGGTGGTGCTCTCCCCTACCCTGGGGGTCTTCAAGAGGAGGTTAGATAACCATCTAGCTGGGGTCATCTAGACCCAGCACTCTCCTGCCTTTGCAGGGGGTCAGACTCGATGATCTATTGAGGTCCCTTCCGACCCTACCATCTATGAATCTATGAATAGATCCCTTCTCTTTGTATTATTCACTAAAGGGACTCAGCTTGTCAGGTTCGACCTAGAAACCACTATACAAAGCCCAAGCAAAAGTCTCTGTTATGTAACTAATGCCCATCTGCAATGATACGGAGGAGACAGTCTTAGATAAAGGAGGCTTGAAAACAAAAGCAGAATCAGAGGACTAGGGCAAAGAGCTGATTTGAATATTGAGAATCACACCCCTGGGTGGGGAGAAAGTATGCTAATGAAACATACATGTATGGAAATGAGATACATAGCTAAAACACAGGTATAGAGACATGCTCAGTAAAGAACTCCTTGCGTCACTCCCTTATAACCAATTAGCAAACAAGAATGCTTATGAAGGTCCAATACTCCTGTATAAAAGATGCTCATAATTAAGACTCTGTGTGCTTGTTACGTGAAATTATTCCGCTTGCACCTTGTATTGCTAGCAATAAATCTTTATACTTTCACCCCTGGTATCTTTATTGGCTTTTGCATACCGGGCACGATCCCAGACTTGAGCTGGGGCTCAACAGTTTTTGGCGACCCAGATGGGACTGCCTTAGATAACTTTGCCCGGACTAGCTGACGACCAGACACAGCTCTTACTTATCAAATGTCAGGCGCGCCCCGGGATCTCTTTTCCCGGTGAAACTTTTGTTTCAGGGGGAGCTGGATTGCTGAGGCGGCAGTAGCCTAACGGTGCAAAGCCATAGAGTGAAAGTATCAGTAACAGGCACCTGGGTGAGAGGGTAGAAAGGGCATAAGGCCTACCGTCAGCACGCCTGCCTGGGATTATCTCTGTAAGTATTCTGTCTGGCCCGAGTCCAAGACCAGTGATTTTTCCCCTGTGAGGACGAGGACTAAGAACAGATCCCTGGATCCCAGGTAAGTCGGACGGTCAGGACCGGGAAGGCAGCCCTGAGATGGGTACTATTAACAGTAAGGTTAGGAAATGTACCCCCCTCTCTTGTGCATTGGGACATTGGGCAGAGTTTGGTGGAGATCCTATGACTAGGAAGAAAGCTAAATTCTTCTGTGAAACTGCATGGCCACGCTATCAGCTAGATGATCAAGAACATTGGCCTCCGGAGGGAAGTGTTAATTATAATACTATCTTACAATTGATTTTGTTCTGCCGGCAGAATGGTAAATGGGAGGAATTGATGTATGCGCAAGCGTTTATGTCTCTTTGTAGAAATAGAAAGGTTTTGGAGGAATGTGGACTGGGGGAGGGAGTTGGGGTCTGTGAGATGACTTTGGTAGCTAATAAATCCTGTCCTGGACTGTCCGGAGCCGGAGGCTCTTCCCCCTCTGCTGCCTTTACCATATTCTCTTCCTCTTCCTCCTCCTCCTCCTGATACATCTGATTCCTTGCTGGCATCTGCTCTTCCTGCTT